ACAATGAGAAAAAATCTAGAATTTCTGATATTGTGCTAACAATGAGAAAAAATCTAGAAGTTCTAATACTATGTCAAAACAGTGGGGAAGAAAACTCAGAAGTTTTGTGTTACACTTTAACTTCTTCTTTACATTAGCTAGAGCATCTGCAACTTATTCAGTTCTTAACAACGGCAAAATAGGAAGATAAAAATACGAAAGTTTGTAGAAGTTCTAACCCTAATTCTGAGCCTAGCATTATTCTAGAAATTCTGATTCACAGTTTTTTCTACTTATGCAATGATATGAACAACATCCATACTATCATATTTACATGTTTAATGATGTTCTGAATGAAAAAGATGCAAAGTCAGAAAGACTTACCTTGAACCTGGAGCGTGCTTGGAGCTTTGAGTTGCTGCCTTTGAATGTTATGGGGTTTACACGAACAGGAAACAACAATGTTAAGTTCTTTGTTTCAAAGGGAAAAACAAAGGTTTTTGATTTGGAAAATTTTAAGTTTATGAGTGCTTGAGTGTTCCTTTTCTCTCTCTCTTTTTTCGTGTATTTTGATGATCCTCTCTTCAAAAGCTATCCTCTCTCTAAAAACCCAGCCCTTTGAACGTGTGATGGAACAAACTATTTATAGATGGATTTGTTGTGGTTTTGGGGGGAAAAATAAATGAGTTTTAAACACTTTTGGCATATTGTTCCTTTGCTTTTTAATCACTGTTTTGGTTATTCTAATTTGGTGCAATTATGGGGTTTGAGGAAGTGCAAGAGTGGACTCGGTCAACAACAATTTGGAGCGTTGTGGTGGCTGGTTGCAGGACTGTGCCATAGCAGGGCAGCAGGTTGGATGGAACGAGGTTTTGGGGCTTGATGATGTTCTGAATGGAAAGCAGAACATAGCCTTTATGTGCTGAAGAATGAAACTCTGAGGAGTCATGTTATGATCAAAGAACAAAGCCTTCATATGTTCTGACTGAAGCGTGGAACGTAACCTCCATATGTTGAGGAGTTATGTTCTGATTGGAGGCTATGTTCTGAACCAAATTTGAAACTTCTGACTGCACTTGCGTGGAATTTGGCCCAGAAGTTCTGAAATCTCTTACCACTTAGAAAATTTTCCAAGTATTAAAAAAATTTATTTCTTTCTTTTCTCAAAGTAGTTTCTGATTTTTGACTTCTTGATGAACCAATTTCTTGTCTTGATGAAATATAATGGTTGAAACTTGATTTTTACCAAAAGTCAAAGTTTGACTTTCCATAGTGCATTTGACCATTTTGCCCTTGTGAATGACTTTCTTGGAAAATTGTGATTCAAGACTTGAAACTTGATGACAAAAACTTCATGATATCCCAAAAATCCATCCCACGATCCACTAATCGAGAACCAGATGCATTTTCCTTTTACCTGATAAGAGAACTTTAAAACAAAATTAGACATAAAGAGGGCACAACCCTAATACCTCAAACCAAGGCGCTTGATTCCATGAGATGCGGGATATGCAAATGACTGAGTAAAAAAATGGTGCAAATGGGATGCAAAGTTCAAAGTCAGACAAAAATAAAAGAGATAAGGCAAATTTGGGGTACGACAGCCTAGAACTATAACTCAATACAACAAAATTGGAGTTTGGATCATTGATTTCTAAAGAATCAACATAGGAAAAGTCAGGATTCTCATAAATCACTGACACTAGAGAATCCCCCCAACTAGCTTCGTTTATATTCTCAGGCACATCTCCTAAGTTAGCCATGGTAAATGCTAAAGGAGGATAAACAACAAACGAAATAAAAGGGGCTAGAGAATGGTGCATGAATGAGACGATGAAACGAAGAAACTAGTCAAAGCATGGGAAGCTTGACAATTTGAAATCCCTAACAATAAAGGGAGGTAGTTGGAAACAAAACCAAAGCGAGAAAGATGAAGAAGAAAGAGATCACAAGATCGATAAGGTCACGTATGAGGGCGGATAAAAAGTTGTTAGAAATGGAAAAACGGCCCTTATATAATAAAAGGGATTGAAAAATTAACGTTGTAGAACGAAGGTAATGGAAAGGTGATAAATCAACGCTCAAAATGATACTTTAAAATATAACAACACTTAAGTGCACTCAAATACTCTAAGTAGAAGTGTCACCCTAACCTATAAATCTAGGGTCACACACGAAGTAACATATGAAAGGTTTCAGTGATAAAATGGACATTTAATGAAATTGTCTTCGGATCTTTTCCACTTCTCAAAACAGAATCACAGCTAGACGTACCCGACCCAACTTTTAAGAAGACATTCCATATTCCAGAGTATACCAATCATTTCGAGCAACTGTTCTGGACCGGCTTTAAGCCCAATGCAAGGAATGCCCAATTTCACCCAACACACAAATACCACTACTTGCATGGAGAAATGTGTGATTCTTTCATAACTTCTAGGTAGAAGCATCGCCTAACCTATTAACCTACGGTCACACGCGAAGTAACTTATGAAACATCTCAATGATTAGATGGGCATTTAATAGAACTGTCTCGGACCTTTTCACTTCTTAACACGGGATCACATCTAAACGCACTCGACCCAACTTTTTGAAAGACTTTTCATGCACAACAACATACAGGCCTTAGAGACAACTGTTTTTGATCAGCATTAGATTTAGTACAAGGAAGACTTAATTTCACCCACACATAAATACCACCACTTGGTGGAGAAATGTATGATTCTTTCATAACTAGCTCTATCCCCATTATTCAAAGACTTACTTAAGTGTTAATCTTTCCCGTCTATCTCGCACCACCGCACCAAAGAAGAAATAGTCTATGCATTGAGAATATGTACAACAATTTTGATCCTGAACGAAACAATTATATATAAAATTGAATTCCATTAAGAATGTATACACGTTAAACTCATATTTAATGTGTAATTATGAATTCCATCACAACTGATAAACTATAAGAAAAACAATTGTTTGAAGTATAAGAAAACATTCTCCAAAATACTTTCTCCAAAATACTGAGGTAGAGAATGAATGTCCCATGTATTTTTTATTTATTTTAAAGGACACATTTAAACATTGTAAATTTTTATAATTATAATGAAATCCAAATTATTAATTTTGGAAATTGTTTTTCATGTAGTGTGAATCACACTTCTGAAAACTTAAATGTCTTCAATGATTTTTTAGAGATGCATCTCTAAATGTATTGTTAATTTTTTTTGCAAAAATTTGATTCGAATGTATATCTGCGAATATGTTTTAAATGTATTTGGAGATGCATTTTCGAAAACATCTCTGACTCATTTTTCTAGTGTTTTTCAATGATAATTAATAAGGTTTATTCATATATATGTTATCTCCGAAAAATGATCTAATAACATGATAAAAAATTTAAAGTCCAAAGTGATTCAAATGTTGTATAAATAGGGTATCTCTCATCCTATTTTCTACAAAAACACTCAATATTGAAAAATGAATACATAACCCCACCTTACATTTGTGTGTTTCAATTGTGAGAAACTGCCATTTAAATTTAGGGTTTGCAAGGATATACTCGCACCGACCTCATATCTAATCTGAATACGCTCTTATGATATTTTGAAAATTGACACGCCGTCAAACTCGAGTATCGTTCACTCTCGTTTGACAGCAACAAGAATATACAGTTCACCAACTTCGAACTGAAGACGGATGCAAATGTAGAGGTTATGTAGAGTACTTATCGTAAATATAAAACAAATCATCCCATTGAAGTGGATGCAAAGATTGTAAGATATGTCGACAATATTATCAACATGTTGTAACGTCCGAAACTATACGTTTATAACTATGTAGAATATTAATGTTTCAATTATCAATTACCTATGTAATATTGATTATTTAATTTAATGTCAAGTTGTTATAAACTTGCAATTTATCCTTATTGTTTGTTTCTGTTTTTCAATTGAAATATTAGAGATATTTTCATATATACATTTCTAAAGTATATCAGACATGAATTTAGAAATACACCTCCAAATTAAATTTTAATAGTACATTGAAAAATACATCTCCAAACTATAGAAACATTTTTAAATTTTCACCGAGAATTTATGAAAAGGTAAATTGCCTTAATTTTCTATTCACTTTATTCTTTAACTTCCCGCTTTAGCCTGCAAATCGTTCTTCTCCTAACGAGTGTGGCATGTTTGTCACAAGGTTGGAAAGGAATATTCTTATATCAAAGTTTTCTTAAATGAGATAACTCTTTAAAGCTTCCAATATTCCAAAAAAGTATAAACTATATTTAAAAAATAATTCCAATTAAAAGTAATGCATATTAAAATAGTTTTTCATTAATAAGATTGAAAAACAGACACCATAAATTATAAATTTATCTCCTTTCTATTTAAAATAATTTTCTTCAAAAACTAATCAAAATAATTATTTCATTTTCCAACAAAAAAATTATTTTAAAATAGTAAAAATAAGAATAACATACACATAAAAATAACTAGAACATCAATATCAAAACCAAACATTTGGAAGAGAAATTAGAAACATCAAAAGATATCCAAAATAACAAAGTACTAACAATAAATTAACTAAAATGTTGCAACTAAAATATCATCCCTCACCAATGACTTCTAAATCTACTGACAAAAACTTACCTCAGAAGAGTACAAAAACTTAGAAATTAAGAACAGAAAGTACATTATGAACATCACAATAATGCACAACAAAATCAGCCAGAACCGCGCGCGATGATGTGAACTACAAAAATGTGCTCACAACTAGCCAAAATTTCGAGCCTCGGTTACGCCATTCTCTAAACTTGCAAGATAATAGCAAGAAGACTCCATGCAAAAAATTATAAAGAAAAATAACACTAGACAGTATCTTCATTCTGATTTGTTATGTACCTCACCTTCTGAAAACTTTGAGTGAGGTTTCGACTATAGGCAAAAAATTGAGCCCCTTTTTCCTCATGTCAATATACATGGGGGTTGAAAACAGTTAGTGCCCCCCTTCGTGGATCTTCAGTCGGAGCTTCCGTTTGAAGACTCTTCTCCGGTTGCTAGAGTTGAAGGAGGAGCTTGGACGCGATTCTCTTCGTTGCCAGCATTGCGAATTTTTCCAGGTCGAACTCTAACGTTGGCTCCAATGGGGAAAGGCTCCTGTAGATATAGAGAACTTGGTTAACTCTTGTTCGGATTTATGTTAAAAGTTAGACTAAAAGAGCGAGTTTATTTACCATATCGCCAGCATTTGGGCCTTCTGTTTGGAAGAGAATAGGACGGCAACGTTTATCTTCATTCATCAGGCTTGAATTCTGGAAATGAGCAACAAGAGAAGCTCTTCCTTGAATTCGAGCATATGCAAGTGATGCTACTTTTTCGCTGTTGAACTTCTCCCACTTTTTACCGTGGAAAGCCTGCGAAACAATTCATATCTATTAGGTACAACAATTTAAGAAGAAACAACGAAAAATTCATTATACATAGATGAATAACTCAAATCATTATTGTGCAAGAATTTCGGAACGACCTGGTGGAAAGGAATGATTTGAGCAGGATCGGTCATATTTATGAATGCATATCCAACATTACATTTGTTCTGCAAACAGAGTAGAATTTAGTTAGAAACATATTCATGATTTCACCTCAAAAGGAAAGAATCAATCAACTAAAAATTAATACTTGCCTTGAAGTCAATTGGTAAATACAGAAAGTCGTAAGTTCCACGACATTGCTCATCTATGGCAACAAGTAGCATCTTTGAAGTATACCTACCAAAAAATGAAATGCCATTGCGACATTCAGCTGTAGATAGAAAATGAAATAAGCAGCAAAAAGATTTTAAAAAATGAGTAGAGTATTCACGAACTTGTTGGGAATATTTTTTATCATAAGCGTTGTTCGGGTGTCTTCTCCACGCAGTATGCGGCCGAGATCAAGTTCATATTGTTTCCTTTCAGCCAGGCTTACGGTGTTTGCTTCACTTTTACGACTATAAACATTTCTCATTCGATCATTGGTAGGATCAAACTTCGACACTGTAGTTGAAGGAAGTTGTCTCCCGTAGAGAATATGTGACAACGGATTAGGCGAGCTCTGCCCAGCACTGGACGATAGTTCAGTACCATTCCCGCCAACATGTGAAAACATGTTATTATGAGGAGAAAAGTCCATCGAACGCATTTGCCAAGAACCATGAAAACCTCCATTTCCAGGAGAACCCAAGTGAAAACCAGAAGCCTCAGGAGATTCTCCCATGTAAGAGTTTTTCCTGTCCCAAGGAGAGGCTGTAACAACCGGTGCCGATCCAACATGATGGTCCAAATGTTGTGTCCTCAGCATATGAGGCGGTGTTCTAGCAAAGCTTGACATCTGAGGCAAGCCTGGAGAACCGTTAGCAAATGGCGGGGTTTTCTGCCAAGGCATGTTACTTGGTGAAGATTGCAGATGCGAATTGGAGCTGCTCCACATATGATTTAACCCATGATGCGCGCGGATGCCGTTTCCTGATGACCCTAAACAAAAGAAAACAAAGATTTCACACAAGAATTCCAGTATAAAACTACTAATCACATTACAAATAAGGAGTGAATTCCTAACCTCCTCCATTGAATTCTGATAAGTTCCCAACTGAGCTTAATCCTTGGATATGCCTTCCATTAGCTTCTGTCACTCCAATGCCTATATTACCAGCCTTGCTGCCAATGGTGCTTGAAAAGTTATAAGGACTAGCATTAGACAAGCTAGCATGATACTCTGGTAGAGAATGAGGATGAAACGCTGTTGGACTGGACGCAAATTTCATTGCATCGACAAGGTTAGTGGACTCGGAAACACCAGAAACTTTTCCAACAGATGCCCCTCTGAAAGCGTTTTGAACATTGGAATTGGCATGAAAGAAGGCACTATCAGTAAATCCATTCAAAGGCTGTTGCCGAATTGCAGATTGAAATCTCTGGTTGTATCCATTTTCCATGCCAGCAGAATCAATTACTCCAGACGACAGTGTTGCTGTAAACGATGTCTCGTGAGACCAAGAAGAGCATTTTCTTCCTATGAAAAAAAAATTGAGGTAGATAAAAACTTACGCTTTTGTCGCAGCTGTAAGTTGTCAATAAGGCTCTGACCAAGATCTCGTTCATCTTGCACCTTGTGAGATTGCTGCATCAGACTACAAAAACAAGGTTTTTGTGGTTGTTAGCCGAAAAAAAATAATACTTAGAAGTAAAATGTAACTACTTTTTAATCAAGAAGATCTATTAATAAATATGCATATCCAACGTAAATTGATGAAAATCGTTAAAAGAGGTACTAGAAATCCGAGAAACAAAATAAATAAGTAGCTAAAAGGAAGTGGGTATAGCCACCGTGTTGCAAACCTAGGATGGCCAGGTTCAAGCTTGATCTGCTTCCCAGCAAATTCAATCCGGTTCAATGCCCGAAGTGCAGCTTCAGCCGCTCGCACGTCATAAAACTCAATAAACTTGAGATGCTTCATTTCTTGATATTCATAGATCTGAAATTAAGAACATAAGATTTAAGGAGTCTTGAATAATCTTCGTAAAATAAAAGCAAAGCAACTAAGATGGTTAAAAACCAAAACCAACAATTCGCACTTACTTCTTTGATTTCTCCGTAAAATCCAAAGATATGTTTGAGCTCATCATTTAAAACAGATGAATCAAGACCAGATAACATGAGTGTACCATGGCCAATATCCTTCTCCGGAGCATTAACCTAAACATGCAATCAAGTTAAAATACATCTTTAGGAAAAAAAAACATAAAAAGTAAGAAGAGACAATTGAAAAAAACAAAGCACATATCAGTACTACTATATGACAGAAGAAAAAAGACACGACCTTATGCATATAGAACGTGTTATTAGAAACTACCTTTGGAATCGAATAATGTATGTCCAGCTTCCTAGACCTCAATGGCCTATTTTGAAGGGCTTGCATTGCTTTCTGTGCAGACCTTAGATCAAAATAAGAAATCATGACAAATCCACGATGCTTGCAAGCCGCATAAATAGTTCTGATATCTCCGTATTGCTGCCAGAGAAAACGTAGCAGTCCATTTAAATCTTAACATTAACGGTATGAAACGTTACCTGAAAATTTAAGAAAGCATCTTGCACCGAAAAAGAATAAAGACACACCTCAAATAGAGTCTTCAGCTCAAAATCTTCAACGTTGCTATTGATGTTTCGAACAAAAAGTGTTCTTGAAGGCTGTTCAACAAAAGGAAGTTTTCCTTTAGAACCTCCAAAGAAACTGTTATCTCCATCCAAACCAGCTGCTCTTTTAAGCGAATTTAAGTGTTCATCTCCTTCCAGCTCCAAGCCTCCGCCGCTGCTAAACAGATCAAAATCTTCGGAATCATCATTTGTCCTAGTGTGAGAATTGTATTCTAACTCATCAACAACGCCAGAAAATAGATCATCTTCATCAGGAAGGAGATTATGTATATAATGAGCCTCCATCTCTTCAAGAGATTTATACGGCTCTTCCTCCAGAAGGGAACCGGAAGCATTTGGCTGGTCAGACAGAAGATCGTTCCCCAATAAATTCACTGCACCGAGATACGCATATAAATTATACATGCATACTAAATTATTATGTAACAATGCCTGAAAAATATTCTTACAGTTTTTGGTAAACATATCCGACAGTGAGCTTGAGAACAAACTACTTTCTCGATGGACAGCATTATTCGCGACAAGCTTGTTCCCAATTAAACGATGTGAGGTCGGTGCTGACTGCCTAAGAACATCACCCCATGATTGAGGATTGTAATGAAATGATTCCTTGGAACCTTTCAATACATCAGCAATGCCTTGTTCTACACTTCCCTCGGATAGATTATTAGTCTGTGACATTGGAAATCCAGATTTTGCGTTTACTTCAAAGGGCGATGAAGCATTCAAAGTGTTGCCGGGTGGTGCTACCATTCCACTCATTCCTGATAAATTTAATATAACACAACTAACTATGTTTAGCAGGTAAACGCGGCAGAAAATTAAACATAGGTAACTAATCAATTTCTAGCGAGCATTAATGATGGGATCGGCAAGCAAATCAATACAACATACTATAAGACTACTGCGAACATTTACGAGTTTATGTGCTCCTCACCTTGGGGGTGTTGGAGATTCATGTATTTTGGCTTCCTCAATCCAACGTTCCTCTGCGCAAAAAAGTTCAAGACAAGTTGAAACCAAAAAAAGGTTTAGTAAGTACCATTTTTTGAAAAATAAAATCCAAAATCTGAGAAGTTAATTACTAGCTAAATTCTCTTTAAATATAATTTAAGATTACAAAAGTACATGTTATTAATTATAATTAATGTCTTGTGTAAAGTGAAACAAAAACATCTGTTTAATTTTCTGGAGAGCTCTTCAATTTAATATAACTAATCTTTACATGATTCTCTTTGTTAATCATTAATGTTACATTAACAAAAAAAATCTAGAACGAACGTTATCATCAAACTCATAAGATCATGGAATATAAATTAATGAAAATAAATACCTCAGAATGAAATGAAATATCATCAAAAAAATTATCACCCCTCTGATCCATCACTTGAAAAGGCATCCTTCAGCACAAAATCTGGAAGAAAATTAAACAAATGATAAAGCTTTGTTCAAAATTCTTCACTTGCAAGCTTCTTTGGACTCAACAAGCACCCTCTTCATCTGCAGAAAAAAATAGATTAAATTAAGCAGAAAATAGTTGAATACATCTTCAACTAAAAACCACAATTGAAACTTGCTTCTTACCTACCAAAAACCTAACACAATTGAAACCATTTTCAAGAAAAGAAAAAATTGCAGAAAATTTAAACAATGGAAAAATTCCATAGAAATCATGAAATTCTGCAAAATAAAATTGTAAATAATCTAGCTTAATGGAAATTAATTGGAAAAGCCTCAACATCAATAGATCAAGCACAAAAACCCAAATTCTCAAAGGTGGAGACAACTATGAACATCATAAACAAGCTCTAATCTGAATTCAATCTCAAATTCAGCAACACCATGACAAAATAAAAATAAAAATAAAAATAAAAATAATAAATAAAAAAGCTCAAAAGAAATGTTTTATTTAAATAACAATAAATATATAAAAAAAAAGGCTAAATTCTCACCTGAATTCAAACACCATCTATCTTGAACAGAAAGAAGAAAAAAACATGGAAATTCTCAAATGAAAAATTGACTCTTTTGTAAGAAACAAGGAGAATTAAGAAACTGTTGATCCTGTAATATTTTTATAAAATTTAACCTCTTAAATATGCATTGCTTTTGCAACAATAAAAGAATAAAATGAAAAAGAAGAAAAAAAATGAGGTGAATATTTTTTTGTTTGAATTTTTTTCTGAAACCCAAACACTGGCGAGATCGGAAATAGGAGGTGTGAATAGAAATTCTGGCCAGAGTAGGGGAATTTGCCGGCGAGATTATGCTCGCCGGTAGCGTTTTTTGTGGGAAAAAGAAACCAGACAAAGGCAAGAACAATGAGAGTTTTTTTATGACTTTTGTAAGAAAGAGAGAAGAAAAAGAAGAGAAAAATATATATATAGAGAGATACAAGGAAAAGTGTGAAAATAAATTTTGTTTTCAATTTTTTATTTAATAAAAAATAAAATTAGATGAATTTCATTTTGTTAAATTAGTAAAAACTCTAAGATTCAAAGAACTTTACATTTTGTTGTTTAAATTACTATTTTTAAATAATTAAATAATTATCGTCTTGACTTATATATTTTCCTTAATGAAAGATTAAATTGCATAAGATAAAGATAAACGCAAGGCTGATGAGCATTTTCTCCTCCTTCTATTTCGGAAAAAAATAAAGTTAGGTGTCGTCATAATTTTGTCCAATAGTGAATGAAAAATGCAATATAATACAGTAAAAAAATTGAAAATTTTTTTTTTTTATAAAAAGAAAAACAAAAACTTGTGTTTAAGTTTAAGATCTGTTGTGTTGTGTTATTAAGTTGAGTGTGTCGTGTACGATAATGTTTTGCTTTGGATCAGAGGCCACCACTTCACACCATAGTACAACATGTTTTTTTTTCTAAAATGTTTTTTTAATTATTATTTGTTTTATTTTTATCACGTTGGTTTCTTTTTTATTAATAGCAAAAGAATATTTATAGGTAAAATGTAATAATCATAATCAAAATATTTATAATATGAAGGGAGTACTATATAATTGTTAATTTATATATTTATTTGGATATAATAGTTGATTTGTTTGTTGAAGAAACTAGTGACTTAAATATGAGGATGTCTCCTATCATCTTCCTTTGGGTTGTGTGTATGGATAAGCTTCCACCAATCAGGAGCTATCTTCGTTTGTACCTAATCACATGCCCAATCATTTACTCTCCAACTCTAAATCATTTTTATGCTTATGTTTATTTTTAATATACATCCATGTTTGTTTAATATTTTATGTGCTTCAATTCAACTACCATGGACGATTCCAAATGCAAAATGAGCCATTTTTTTATATAAAATAATATATGCTTTGAAAATGGTACGTTTCTCTATGATAATTATAAAGTATTTTAATTTGAGGTGTTATGGTTTGAGGTTTTAGCTCCTCTTCTTTCGCACCTAATCTTAACATAAGCTACTACATTTGAAATTAGTATGTAGATATTTGACTTGATCCATTGGATTAAACATAATGGAAAAAGACAACAAAAAAATATGAAGTTCTTTAGAGGTGTTAGTCCACCAATTTGGATGGGTAAAGTTTATAATAACCAAAAATAAAATATTTAAAAGGATTTCGATATAGGTTTAAAAAAATTTAAATATTCATTTGTTATTTAAAAGTTTTGAATTATTTGTAAAAAAAAAAAGTAGTTAAGAGAAATTTTCAATTAGTTCTATTAGATGAGTTTAGGTATTGGAGAAATAGATGGTTGCTTGTATTTTCTTGGCGTTAGGATAGTTAGTCGATAATTTGATGACATAAGAAATAATGTCAAAGTTGTTAGATGGAAGAGGTTCAAACTTCGACAAATATTAAAACTATGATGGATTGATGTTTTGCTTGACAAAAGATTGAATTTGCATCTTGTCAAGACTGGATGCTTTGAAAAACATTTCAAAGACCCGATGAAGTAATCGACATTACTGGTGGAGAGTGATGAGGATACTAGGGTGAGAATGAACCTAAAGGCACACATGAATTTTAGAAGGAGCATAAAGAAGCATTCAATCATTGTTGAATAAATTATATAGACCATCAATGTATACCTTCTTAGAGTATTTTTGAACCATGATGACGAGATCATCCATTCTGTGATTAAAATCGTCCAAAATGTATTGATCCAAGGAATTGCTTCTTTTAATAGAGAAGATTGAACATGTGATCCATAAACTTAACGATGCCAATAGAGCCTAAGCAAGATACATGAATTGAAATTCTATAATGGAGGAAAGCAATACACTTCTCACTAGTAATGACGCCTTTAATCTTAGCATGATATGAAATGAAGGATGTCGTTGATGTGTAATTAGGAACGTAAGCATAGGCAATATAATGTATAAGAAAGAAAATGTTGGATATCATTTTATTTGGAGTAAGACTAATGATGGTTGACATATCAAAAAGGGTCCATCATAGGTATGTCCACCCTCACTGCATGTCAAAACATCTCGACAAAGTCGATGATGCCTAAAAAATAGCACATGGACTTTTAAGATCCTTTGACTCTATCAAGACATGTAAAGTATGGTATTCTGAAAGAATCGGAGTATGTGACATTCTTATGCGTTCTTTAGTATGGGGTGTTATACTTTAATAAAGAAACAAGAACAACATCATTTTCACAATAAGGAAAATGCAGTTTCAAATCATCATGAACACATTTAAGGCTAAATTAAGGCCATTTAAAGGCAACATGAGAGATTATATCGTAAGAAATAAGACTCATTATCTAAGATCAAAAAAATCCAACATAAGGTATTTCATCAAATTAGAATGTCATGTTTAATGAAGAATTTTTGAAAATTTTCGAGTAAGCATAAATAGAAATTTGTGAAGACGATTTTAGGATTTTCAAGTATAGATATTTTTAGCAAGAGTTCAAAGATGGAAAGCCTAAAAAGATTATTATTTTTAGGAATTGACCTTTTATATATATGAGAAAAGATGAAATGACTAATCTCGATACTTTAAGAAAGGGATAATCAGGTAAGTACTCATTACTCTAATTTGGCGTGAAATTTAAAATGTATGATCTTTTATAAGACTTGTGACATGTGAAACGCACAATATGAAACATGCAGCCTATATATGTAATGATTCATCAAACAACACAACTTTTGATTATTTATCAAACAACCAAAATTTAGAGGCATTTGTTATTGGTGAAGTTCTTGTCTTGTCGAAGATGATCGAGAGTCAACGAAAAACTCAAGATTCTTGAAGAAAACACAAAAGGATTCATTGAAAAATAATATATCAATATAAGGGATGACTTGTAGAGCATGAAGAACTTCATAGTTCTCTGATTTGTATGGTTAACAAATAATTGTGTGTGTGTGTGTGTGTGTGTGTTTTTCTAATATGTGGTAACAATTGATTAACATTTGATGAAATATGAACCGACAAACACAAAGGTGATGAAATCTGAACTGACAAAGAGAAATTTTTAGAGTGAGGATAAGTTTACTGACATAATCTACTGAGACTAGTTCAGCGAGGTCACTGCCACGATATTAGTCTTTCATTTAAGTGACTGTTATCTAGTTTTATTTCCTAATAAATAAGATATTTTAAGAATAACAAATAATTAGATACTTATATTCGAAGGCTTAGTTCTAACTAGAAACAAATTCTAGTTTTCTAGAATTTTAAGTATATATTTCACATTCTTTACATTTCTTTATATTTTTAACCAACTTATTTATGATTTGCATTTCAAGTCATTTACATTTCATCACTTTTAATTTCTTTCTCTTTAAACTTAATTGTCAATTTCTTGCATTAATTTACTTTTCTTGCAAATCAAATTTTCAATTTTTTTCAATCAATTTAAACCTTCAATCTTGAATCAAATTCGGAGATATTTTCAAAACTTTCTTCAAACAGGTAAGCTACGAGTTAAACATAAATCGGAACTCAACACTTATACTATTTAAATATTCATTTACATTTCTGATTTGATTAACTTTAAATAAAAAACACATGTAACACTTGCTTCTTATGTTAGGGGTGGCAAAATGTACAAACTTGCTTGATCATCAATCCTCCTAAACTAAGGGATAAAGTAATCAAACTTAAGACATATTAGAATAAACAACTTATTTAAGTTTATAAAAAATGTACTTATTACATTACATACTTATAATTAATTTTATAGGGTTAAATATGTTTTTGGTCTCTATAAATTATCAAAATTTGTTTTTTGTCCCTAAAAAAAATTGGCATGCTTTAGTCCCTATAAAATTATTATGCATGTAATTTTAACCATTGTTGTTAAACTGATGTGTATTTTTGAATCATTATTTTGCAGAAATGTTAGAAAATTATAAAAAGTTTTTCAAAAAAAAAAAGAACTCAAAACTTGA